TGCGAAGCAGGGTTAAGACAAAACCCTCGCAACACCGCGCAACATCTTCGAGCCCGCAAACATTCCGAACACGAAACGCGGCATATAAAACAAAAACCAACTTTCGGCACTGCGAGACGTCGCAAACGCCCGGAGATTAGTTTTTCGACACAAATACCTTCCTCGATAAAGTCATTTTCTTGGAAGACCTAACAGTCCGTTCGCGACTATAAAATACGCAAAACTTCTTAACGTACGTATCCTTCGCGAATGCCCAAACTACGTAAACATCTATCACTTAAAAATAGTTCGTTGCTGATCACAACGAACTCGCAACAGTCCTAAACAAACTTAAGTTATCTCGCAGAGATAACTCTCGAACACCCGACACAAGGGTAATAGCGCTATAAAAGAAATCCAAACTTTTGGTCAGCACTTCCGGGCAACTTAGAAATTGTTCCCGGTGAGATGCTCGGTTCCAACCAGACGAATCGTATAAGCCGAGAACCTATCGCGGATTNCTAAACAAACTTAAGTTATCTCGCAGAGATAACTCTCGAACACCCGACACAAGGGTAATAGCGCTATAAAAGAAATCCAAACTTTTGGTCAGCACTTCCGGGCAACTTAGAAATTGTTCCCGGTGAGATGCTCGGTTCCAACCAGACGAATCGTATAAGCCGAGAACCTATCGCGGATTCTAAATCGGTATGGAATCAGGTTAAAATCCCAACAGGCATAACGAAAGCCGACTAGTCATCACATAGACTCAATCCGAAAGTAAACCTAGGTCTTGCCCTAAACCCAGCACACTGGTCGCTAACGTCTTAAGGCATGAATCGAGATCCTAAAGGCATGTCTCTTTGTCTATATCTAAACGCTCACTCGATTTGCTAAACATCCTAAAACAAGCAAACGAATAAGGCGATACACTAAGGGAAAGGAATGAGAGACGACAACTCGCGGACCTCCCTCAATATCAACTCATATTCTTCCCGCTACATTCATACGAATAAAAACACGCTCTTAAAAACGCAAACTGATTTTTAATAAAGCCGCAAAAGCGGCAGGGAATCAGAGCCGTGCACGGCCAGTCCGAAAACTATAACGGCCACGCTCGGCCAGACCAAATGGCCTACGGGGCTAGTCTTAAGGCCGGTAAAGGTCCAGATGCCATCGACATCAATATGCTCGATAATTCCTACACGACATATAACTAGACCGTAAAGGTCTTGCTAGGAAACAGGTCATACGAACCTAAACTCCAAATAGAACTACGAAAGGCTTGATCCCCTCAAAAGGGTATGTAGGCAGCCTTCACAAGGCGCAGCCCTAATCTTAAGCACATTCCGCTTTCTGGAGAATGGGGAGATCACTCTCAACAGACCTTTCCAACCATTAATTCCGCCTAATTTAACTAAAACTGGCTAACCACTCGCAAGAACCTTACCCTAGAAGCTCAAGATTCTAGCGAGCTGGGGGCTAACTGTTGGGGTCAAAATCGGTACGACAGAATCAATAGCCAAAATTCCCCGCAAAAATACAAAAGGAATAATTTTATAAAACCCGAGAAGTCGTTTTATAAAACTCGAAGATCGTTTTATAAAACTCGAGAATCGTTTTATAAAACTCGAGAAGTCGTTTTATAAAACTCGAAGATCGTTTTATAAAACTCGAGAATCATTTTATAAAACTCGAAGATCATTTTATAAATTTCGAGAATCCTTTTATAAAACTCGAGAAGTCGTTTTATAAAACTCGAGAATCGTTTTATAAAACTCGAGCATCGTTCTATAAAACTCGAGAATCGTTTTATAAAACTCGAAGATCGTTTTATAAAACTCGAGAAGTCATTTTATAGAACTCGAGAATCGTTTTATAAAACTCGAGAATTGTTTTATAAAACTCGAGAATTCGTTTTATAAAACTCGAAGATCGTTTTATAAAACTCGAGAAGTCGTTTTATAAAACTCGAAGATCGTTTTATAAATCTCGAGAATCGTTTTATAAAACTCGAGAAGTCGTTTTATAATACTCGATAATCGTTTTATAAAACCGCGAAAAACAGAAACCGCCGCAAAATGCGAACTAGAAGCTTCCCGACTAGTTCGCCTGCTGGCGAACTAGGAACTTCCCGACTAGTTCGCCTTCGCCAGCAGGCAAACTAGAGATTTCCCGGACAGTTCGTCAAACCGGCGAGCTGGATCGGACCGGTTCGATTCTTCGTACGTTGAACCGACCATCCCGAGTCTCGATCTCCCGCATCCCCGATTCGAAACTTACGTCCTTCGACACGGTCTCATTCTGAACCACGGCCGAAATGTCTCTCGTTTCGTCTCGATCCGACTTATCGTTCGAATTCTACGATAAAAACTGTAAAACTCCGTTTTCTCGAAAAGAACTCGAAGAAATCGTATAAAACGGTAACGGTTAAACAAGACACCGAACATCGCCTAAACTATACAGTTTATCCGAGATTTTTTGTTAAAGTCGTAAAAACGTATTTTTAATAAAAACGTCAAGTAAATCGTAAAAAATGCGTTTTTAATAAAAATGTCGAGTAAATCGTAAAAGACGGAAACGATTAACCGAGAAAAAAACGTAGCTAAACATTACGATTAACTCGAGGAATTTACTAAAAACGGCATCGAATCAGGAAACGATTCCGTACAAGGTCGAGAAACTGATTTATCGCAAAACGGCCCGGAAGGTCCTTAAACGCGATAAAAGCCCATCTCGCGATCTCAACAGAATCTAACCCAAAGATACGATAACGTTTTGGCGGTTTACTCGCAGAAGGAAAATAAATGTCAAGCTCGAAGATAAAAGGCAAGTTTGAAGACAAATAGAAGATTTCCGCGGAAGAAAAGGAAGGATCGAGAAAAATGGAAGATTCCTGATACACTCAAATCTGGGCAAAATGGAAAGATCGAATCGCCAAGGCGGGGAGTATATAAGCAAGAGGTATAGGGCAGAAGCAGACACGAGTTTTCAGAGTTTTCAGAGTTTTCACCACCAAACTTAGCATTTAGGCAATTTTTCGTTTTCGTTATCGAGCTGCGTCTCAACTAGGGTTTTAGTCTTAGATTGCTAGAACTAGGAATTTTGCCGACGGCTCACGCAGCTAAGGCAACTCTCGTTGTAACTGTTCTTACGCGAATTCGGAATAAGAATCCTTCTTGCTTTCAATCTCGTTTTTATTTTTATATCTTTCAATTTATTCATATTAATCGCGTTCTTGGTTACTTGTCGTTGGCTTTCGCAGAGATCCGGTTCCTCTGGAAAATTAGGGTTTTCCTAACTTTCCTTATTTTACGGAAATCGACAGGTGTGAATTTNTTACGCGAATTCGGAATAAGAATCCTTCTTGCTTTCAATCTCGTTTTTATTTTTATATCTTTCAATTTATTCATATTAATCGCGTTCTTGGTTACTTGTCGTTGGCTTTCGCAGAGATCCGGTTCCTCTGGAAAATTAGGGTTTTCCTAACTTTCCTTATTTTACGGAAATCGACAGGTGTGAATTTCGGTTCCCACAATTCTTGTTTGTCGGAGTAGGGGTTGGGTTAGTGTTGAAAAGAAGTCGTCGAGCCGTCGAGAGGTTCCCGTCCGGGTTTGTGAGTACGGCGGCAATAGCTGCGAGGTGCTCGTTCGTCGTCTTCTAAGCTTCTTCTTGCTGAGCGAGATGGGTCAAGACGGAATTCATTAGGGTTTCGACGTTCGGGACCGGTGGTGTTTCTTCCGACTGTACGTCGGAAGGAGCTTCTTCGTTCATATTTAGGTCACACTACTTTGTTATGTCCCACGGTGGGCGCCAACTTGTACCGAGTTCGGTCGTGTGTCAGTTACTAGACTCGTCGATGGGTTATTACGAAGGTATGAACGAATACGAGTAAGAGAAAGGGTTTATTTATAATCGAAGGAGAGTACAGAGAGTAAATCCGGTGCTCGAAGAACTTTGCCGGAGGTGTCGTACGGACTAGTCGGAAAACTACAGGGAGAGTCAGATGAAAAATCCTAATACAAGTTGCCTCCTAGTCAGTCTAATTTCGGATCCTTTTCTCGTTGTGCCTCATTTCCCTTTTATAGCTGATCTCTTCTCGTTTGGTTTAACCTAAAGCGGTACACGTCGATGGGCCTCCATATTGGGCCTCTTCTCGGCCTGTAAAGACGAGTTTGCCATTTGTACGGATGCTGCTCGACTATTACTCGGTTAACGTAATCTATTGACGAGTCATTTCATCGATCATCGGTAGGACCGAACAAGCTGTCTTTTAATGGGTCGAATATGGTTTTCTCATGGTCCTTGAGGGGTAGATGCAATCCACCTATTATAGAATTTCGATATTGAGGTGAAGAAATATAGAAGCTGATGACCACCTAGTCAGAATGGAAACGATGAGACTTGGTGAAAGAGATGATGCTCCTCAAACTCCTAATATTCGCGGCAGACACCAAATCCTTGATATTGTTAGGATCACGATGAAGAGATGAAAGATAATATATTTGACGTAAAGACAACTTGAGAAACTATAAGAGCAGGGAGTGGGAAAAATTGATATAAATTCACGATCATACACAGCTGCATTGCTATCGACCTCGAACTCTCAATCCTAAACATTTCGATCTCACTATTCTAGTCTTGTTTTGTTTACCATTTCTTTACCTTGTAAACCTTTAAACATCAAACCTTGTAAACCTTTAAACATCAAACCTTATAAACCTTTAAACATCAATACATAAATCTATTTGAGTCTGATTACATTATTATGTAGTAAAAATATAGTTACCCACAAGTTTTCCTTTCATAATTTTTTTTTATCGACCTTTCTTTAATTTTGAAATACAACACACTATCAAATTCTTAAAGTGGATTTTAGGATCGAAAGAATGGAATGGAATTTCAAGTGGAAAGAAAAAAGATGTCAGTAAATGTTGACTTGGGTTGATTTGCGAAGAAGGGTAATAAATGTAATTTTGAGACAAAAGAAAAGGCACATAACTGAGTGAGGTAGGGAGGGAGGGAGCCACACATTCAGACGCTTGGCTCTGCTCTGCTCTCTTCTCCTCCATGGCCATTGTTGCACTCTCTTACTGCAAACCCTCGCTTCATCCTCTTCGATTTCATCCTCACTGCGTGAGTTTCCTTCCCAGTTTCGTAGGATCTTCTAATTCTGATTCCGATTTCAGATTCCATTTTTTCTCTCTCTCTCTCTCGCTGCAGGGGAAATTGTGGAAGAGAGAAAATGTGGGGAGGTCAAGAGGAGCATCCACAGTTACTGCTATGTTCTGGAGGTCCGACAAATCTCCGCAAGTACGAGAGTTCGATATTTCACTTGCCAATTATCCTTTAACTGGATCAGGCACCCAGGTCTCTTCTTTTTATATTATTATTATTAATTCCTTCCTTAGATACCAAATGATGATTGATCTCTCACTTGTGTATAACCGTGATGAGTTTTAGGAAGGGCAAAATGTCATTTCACTTTCAGTAGTTTCTTCAATCTCAGAGATAACACCATCTGAATGGGATGCATGTGCCTTGGATTCTTCACAACCTCAAAGCTATAATCCTTTTCTTATGCATGGCTTCCTCTCCAGTTTAGAAGACACTGGCTGTGCCACTCGGGTCCGTTAAACATTAATAACAATTTCTCCTTTTTTTAAAAAAAAACTAATTCTGACTAAAACATGTATCTATCTTTCTCTCCAGGAAACAGGTTGGATGCCATTACACATTGTTGCAAAAGATGAATCTGGTCATGTTTTGGGCGTTTCTCCCCTTTATCTCAAAAGGTTTTCTTTCTTTCTCTTTTTATAGATCTTCCGTTGTTTATCACTCTCTCTTCTCATGTGTTGTGTAATATGTGTCACAGCCACTCCTACGGTGAATTTGTTTTTGATCATTCCTGGGCTGATGCATACCGTAGTTTTGGTGGAAGATATTATCCTAAGCTCCAGTCTTGTGTTCCTTTCACCCCTGTTACTGGGCCTAGGATTCTCATCCGTGATACTCCTTTCAAAGACCAAGTTTTTGATGCTATTGTCTCTGCCATGACTCAATTGGCTGCTAAGGTATCATACTAGGAAACATGGCTAGACTTGTTATCCCATGGTAGATCAGCTATATTTAAGAATTAAGGAACGATTGAGCTCTAATGCCTTCTCTTTGGTCTAGTTTTGCTTCCCACATATACTATCTCTTGTCAGATTTATTTACTGTCTGCACTTTGGTAGCTACAAGTTTCATCTTTGCACATTACCTTTCCCTCTGGAGCTGAGTGGAACAAGTTGAAGGAGAAAGGCTTCTCGCAGAGGATTGGAATGCAGTACCACTGGAAGAATCGTGACTATAAAAAGTAACTGAATTTTCATTACCATTATAGTTTTTTTTCATTATGATTGTTGTGGATGCGATTGATGTCTGAGACCCTTCAGTATTATATTTCTAGTCCATGAAGCAATCCTTACCTTTGATTTGTTTTGGTTATACTAAGATTCATGTTTTTTTCTGTCTGGTCATGATCTGCTAACTTATCCAACTTTGTTCACTTAAATGTTATATGACTAATTTTAACTTTGTCCAACTTTTGATGCTTCAGTTTCGATGAGTTCTTGATGGATATGAAGCAAAGCAAAAGGAAAAACATCCGGCAGGAACGCAAAAAGGTCTATTACTTTTCCTCTTTCCATGTCATCTTAGTGACATAGCAAGAAAGATATGCGCACATAAAGAGGGTTTATAATGCAGCAAATGATTCAGGGACTCCTTTTCAAACATAGTCTTATTTATTTATCCTTTCTTTGTGATGTTTTTTCAAACACGATGCTGACTTCTAATGCTCTATTTTCCTCTAGTAGATTGGTACCCAGAACTTAAAAATGAGACGGTTGCGAGGAGACGAAATAAAGGTACGCAATTGGACTGCCAAACTATTTTTGTAATTGATTGTTCCTAGAAGTATCTTTTCATTGTTAATGACTATAACCAACCTTGGGATATCAATGTCTTAAGAAATGATGATGCACAGTATAATGCTTTTGGAATCACATGAGGTCCAAATCAATCAAATTTACAATCCATCTTTTGTAAATGTTATTGCAGGCTCGGCACTGGGATTCATTCTATGATTTCTACAGAAACACGACTGATAACAAGTTTAGTAATGCACATACTAGCATGGCATGCAATTATCGTTCCTCTTCATGTGTTTCGCAACGGAATCACAATGCTGATAATACATAATCCTCCTACTTTCACATGCTAAACGTTGATATTTTGTAGATGGGGAACACCTTATCTAACAAGAGATTTTTTCCACTACATGGCATCAAAATTGGGGGATGGAGTATTACTTGTTCTTGCTGAAGAAAATGAAGAACCTGTTGCAGGAGCATTGAATCTAATCGGTGGAGATACTCTTTTTGGGCGATTATGGGGATGTCGTCCTGACTCTTATTATCCTAGTCTCCATTTTGAAGCGTGCTATTACCAGGTTAGTCTCCTTGTCACAAAGCCTCTTGTAAAACCATAGAAATCCACAGATGGATAATGGATGTCAAACCGACAAACATTTCCTTAGGGCATATCGTTGTTGTTAGTATGTTCCGCTACCTACCCATTGCTTCAAGTGTGATTTAGGAGTCTCCTTAGTTCCCAAACATTGGTATGTTTCATTAGGTATATGATTGTGAAGTTATTTTTTTACTATGATGGTCACAGGCAATCGAAGCAGCAATAGAGCTTAATCTAAAAACGGTAGAAGCAGGAGCTCAGGGTGAGCATAAGATTCAGCGGGGCTACCTTCCAGTTAAAACATATAGTTGCCACTACATTATTGATGAAGGCTTCAGGCAAGCCATAGACGAGTTTTTAGTACGTGAATCAAATCAGGTACATTTGGGGTGCATGATGTTTTGTAAATTTAAAGTAAATAAATGAATCGTCGCTTTAAGCATTGTAACTTTGGACATCGCAGGTGGATTATGTCATCAAGCTGTTGCGTGAATCTGGACCGTTTAAAGAGACAATAGAATAGAAACTTGACCAAATATTACTGTATATCTTATTCTTATTTACATAGATTGTATAAGCCTTTGGTGTATTTGTGGTACATTGTGTGTGGTGTATATGTTCATTTCTTATTTGGATTTGGGTGCTTCTTTTCTTCTTCTCTATGATCACAGTAAATCAAATATTTAGTTTATAAGAATTTTACATAAATCCAGAGGATTGGTAGATTTTCATGATAGAGATTGAAGTGTTTCCGAGATTACAGGAAGATTTCAAAGATGTGAGTTTGTCTCATATTCTTCGGAATAAGAATGGTTGAACTGTTACATTAGTAAAAGAAGTAAGGACCAGATATTATACATTTTTCATATAGATCAAACCTAGTTAGACGGAGGTACTCTTCGGAGAATCGGCTTTTCTGACCACCACTTGATCTAATTTAGATAGATGACTAACAAAAAAAAAAAATTTACACATTTTAGGGTGCATAAAAAAAAATTGAAATGTTCGTCAATTTCATAATTTTATGTTGATAAATTTAAAAGCATGTTTGTAACACTTTACTAATATACTACTTGATAGCTATCTTAGGTATGTCCAAAGTAAATTCTTCAAATGGTTTTCTAAGTAAGTAATTCATATATTTGATTAATAACTATATATATTTTTGGTCATTTGTATAATTTTATCTTCGATCTTGACCCTGAATGATAATTATCATTAATTTTGCACGATTTTAAGTTAAAGAAAAAAATGTAAATTAACCGACATACAATTTTACAAAAACTCCGATCAATTTGATCATGGTTCACATTTCTTCTAACTTTTCTTCTTGTAACATGTCTATGTTTTTAAAAAATTAAAATTTCTTAGAAAACTGGAAAAAGGTTTCCGTACTATTCTTTTTATTAGGAAAATTAAAAACATAAAAATAAATCTCCATATACAAGATTTATATTTTGTTGATTAGCAAATATTCGATAGTAATAATGATAAAAGGAAGAATTTGCTTCTTTTTTTTTTGTGATTCTCCAGTAGAAATATTTTTTTAATAACAATAACTTAATTGATTGTTCCGATTCGGAAAGCTAAACTGAGGATGTAGAATCAATATAAAACATAGCTGAAAGAAAACATTTTAAACCGTGCGTAAATTTGTTCGTCAATGTGTTTTGTGCTTTTGAAATATCTGATTTTGAAATTACGGAAGAAAGTCTTACTGTTTCGAAATATTCCTTATGTATCAAGAAAACTAACCATTCTAAAGGCGACTACACCATCTTTACCAACTAAGAACAGTCTGTTGTAAAATTTGCATCTGCAACATGGAAGATCTTATTACATTCCATAGCTCAGATCAAAGCTTCACATTGAGAATGTAAAGGTGATAGGTTTTGGTGGAGATTCATCGTGTCTGATCTTGTGGTTATATAGAAACAGCCATGATCTGTGAACTTATCTTGTTCCTTCCATGCACTATCGACGTAGGAGATTCTGATATGTTCCAGAGATTGCCAGTTGAAAACCTGCTTGTTGATCTCAATATCATCCTTATCCAAAAGTTGCACTTCAGTCTACAACATATCTTCTACCTCAGTTATACGCATAATGCATAATTATTTTGAGGATTTCTCTTCTTATTCTTATAAATCTTGTCATTTCTGGTTTTCAACATGTACCACAATATTTAGGAAAAGTAGCTAAAATCATAGTCTTTTGGAAGTCTCCAGAACAAATAGTTCATATTAGTAAAATCCAGAAGAAAAAAAAAAGAGAATGTTCCCAGATGAGAGAGAATCCTTGAAAGTTACAGGTTTATAATGCTGGTGAAAATTCAAAAAGACCATGATTTTTCCTCTTGTGCACCACATTTACTACATTGTAAATCAAATTTCATCCCACGTAGCCGTAGATTCTTTGAAACTGGTAGCGTATCAGATATTATTTTCCATACAAAGTGTCTCACTTTCGAAGAGCACTTCAATATCCATGAGAGGGCCAATAGAGATTTAGTGTCTAGTCCATAAAATATCGCCCTAAGACCCTTGTTCGAGTATAGGGATTACGTTTTGCACACTGATTTAACCATATATTTGCTAGATTCTGTAACCCTCTAACCATACGCATTCAATCTACAATTCCTACTAATCGCCAAACCTTTGATGATCTTTACATCTTCAAAATGAATATATTCATTAAACAAATTTACATTCCAAGAGAATCAACCAGGTTAATAAAGTATTCAACCTTTAAGAATTGTTAAGAAGCTATTTTTTTTTTGTGGTAATAATGACTTTAGACGAAGAATGGAGATCATTCCATATTGTGATGGTCTATCACCCCCTATATATTAAATGAGATATCATTTTATTGACTTCTGCTGATGTGTCAATCATACAAACATTCTAAAAAACTCTTATAATTTGATTGGTCGAAGATTATTATAATTATTTTTTTAAACAAAATCCCCCGACAATAAAACCAGAACTTACTAATATACTTTGCTAAACATAAATAAATAAACTAAAAAGAGAATACATTTTTGTCGTATGATTGAAAAGAATAAAACTTTCCAGATTTCTTTTTTTTCTAATCCCTAGCTTTTCTTGAGAGTGTTCTTAACGATTTAATCCCCAGATGTTCATCTTTTGATTTTGGGATACTCCCCTCTCCCCCCCCCCAGATTTGAATTTGAAACCAACAAGAAACTCTGATTTCTCGCTCTACTGCTCAAGCTGTTTTTTTTTTAAATCATAAGGAAAAAATCGAGTAAGGTATAATCTCGGAGGTTCCTTTAACTTTCAAATTTTGAATCTGTAATCTTGTCGTTGCTGAAGCTTTTCGTGTGTATTTGGGTTCAGATTTGCTAAAGATGAATCTGGCTTTCAGAAATGTATTGGCCGCAGCTGCCATAGATTACAAAAAGGTTCATATTAGAGTTATGTATACCGGTTTCTAATCTCGGTTTAGTTGTTTTAGTTTCCTTTAGCTTAAACCAGCCATATATATATATGAACACAAGTGTATCCTTACAGTTTGAGCTGATAATAAACATTTTTCCATTTCATAACAAACTCTTATTCATCATCACTATCGATCTCCATCTTCTTCTTTATCAAGCTCAGATTCTTTTAATATGGTATCAGAGCTCTTTCGAGTTCGTCTTCCTAACTGAATAGTTCCATTCCTTTGATTGTGAAATCTTGCTGCCTTTGGTAAGTCGGGTGTGAGTCTGAATGACCTTATCAATCTCGGGTGTGACAAAACCCTTGTGTTTAGCTGATTTGGTCCTCCTTGCTGAGAACCACCGAGTTAGCATGCGTTGAATGAACATGAACATCTCAACAATAGGAGAAGCTCTGGATTTAGAAATAGCATTGTTCAACTGCTCTGCAACGTTTCTAGTGAGAAGATTGTACCGGTTAACAGGAAAGTAAGTGCAAGACCATTTGGCAGTGCCTATGTCTTCAAGGTATTTGAAGCAGGCTGCATTCTTGATTTTAGCGAAGTTTTTATCAAAATCAGAGCGGCGGAACGAGAATGCAGCCTCACAAACCATCTTTGCGAGACCCTTGTTTTTATACCGAGATACAACGTTTCTCGTGACGTGAAGAATACATGCTTCGTGATGTGTATTGGGGAAACCTGGCTTTTGGCTTTAATGATGGAGGCATGGTAGTCAAAGATGATGGAGAGGGTGTTGGCATCTGCAATAATCCTTTCAAGCTTGGTTAGAAACCATGTCTAGGCCTCTTCAGATTCACCATCAACAATAGTAAAGGCAAGAAAGAAAGCTTGGAAGTTGTCATCTTGTCCACTAGCAGTGAGGAGTACACCTTAGTATTTGCCCCAGAGGTGAGTGTCATCAATAATCAAAACAGAATCCTTGGATTGAAGCACCAAAAGACAAGAAAGCATACAAAAACCTGGTGTTTCCATCATCGTTAAGCTCGGTATCAATAGCAGTGATTGTTCTAGGATTAGTTGCTTTAAGCCTCTCAAAATAACCAGCTAAGCTGAGGTAGGAGTCATCCGCATTACCATGTGTAATGTCTAGGGAAATTCCTTTTGCCTGATGGCATTTCATGTAGGAAGCATCGACACGCAAATCTTCAAGAACCAGTTGCTGAAGCTGCATTGCTTTGGGTGCATCGGTGGGGTCGCCGTATTTGGAGAAATAGATATGTGATAAGACTTTAGCGGTAGCACGTTTCTTGTAAAGCCTTTGAGTCTCAGTATCACATGTTTGGTCCAACTGACACTTCTTAATAGTGTAGTATCCGCATGTGGTAAGCTCCTTAGCGAGAATTCTCCATTGACAACGAACGTCATGACAACTTAGGACAAATGAATGCATTCTGGTCCTGGTTTGTCTGAAATAAAACTGTTTTTTGATTGCATAGATAGCAAGGCTGATTTGACAGTCTTGCTTTGATGCATACAGTTTTCCAACGCAAGGTTCATCATCGTCAATATCCAAATCTGGGACATCTTCAGCTTTATACAAGGTGTCGTCAAACATGGGTGGAATATTGAACTCCTCGTCACTAATCTCTGAGAGGGACCTAGTCTCACGACAGGTGGGGTGTGCGGGTGAGGCGGGTGCTGCTCAGTGAACGACGTGTGCCCAGAACTTGTTGACGCGGTGGAGCGGTTTACGGGAGGGCAGCTATGAGTATGTACAGGTGGAACATGCGTAGGGTGTACATAGGTTGATGATAAAGGTACTTCAGGTTTGCAGTATGGTGGTAGTTTGCCCGACACAAGTACTGTGTGGTCTAAAGCGTCACCAATGGTGCAGTGGATGATATAGGATGCAGTCTCCGGTATAGAGATACCCTCCATAACCTCAGCAGCATCAGAACTGCAAAGATGATCGTCAATGAGCGGAGCCTAAAAGTCTTGATCATATCCACGGGGTTGAACATCATTAATATCAGCGGGAATAGAAGCATCAGATACACTGTCCTCGTCATCGTCAGTTAACCAGCTGTGGGTATGTTGGTAAGGCCTTCTTTAAACATGGTTTCAAGGAACTCATCCCCGCAGAGGAGGGTTTCGTTTAAAAGAGATAAGTGGAGCGTTTTTGATGGACCGGAGCTCCCTGTATCAGCAAAGTGTTTATCTAGATTATCGTCGTTGGAATGAGAGAAGGCTGGGCTCTGAGATCCAACTTGAGGGCGTTGTACACGTGGACAATTTTGAG